AAAAAAAAACAGGAAAAGAAAAGCACAGCACAGCAACAAAGCTTTGAGTATACGAAAAGGTCCAAGACCGAAATTGCTCGAGAGAAGAACAACAGCGCTGAGATATATGATCTAGCTTTCTAGTAGTTTCTACATTCTAAGCCTCGAGCTTTCTAGTAGTTTCTACATTCTAAACTCTAGCTTTCTAGTAGTTTCTACATTCTAAGCCTCTAACTACATACCAGTCATGCACGTGCCCAGAAGCGAAAAACAATACCAGGCGATACAATTTATGTGAAAGTGAGGAGCAGCGCATGAGGCCTGTGTTGAAGGTGATGCGGTGTTATAGATCGACACACACATGCATATTGACAATTTGACCATGGATTAATGAAAAACAAACAAACAAACAAACAAACGGATAGATGTGCACAAACCAGACGACTGGACATATGAAAGGAATAACAAAGGGATAAAGGAGCACAAAGCGGTGTATTACAGAGTTGAGGGGAACAAGGAGAGGGGGGGGGGAGGGGAAGGGAGGAGAGAGGGGTGCAAAGGTGGGCTCTGACTACTAGGACATATGGAGGACATATGGCAGCCTGGACTCAGTATTGCAACCCATAACTGGCTATTAACTGCTCAATAAGAGCACGAGGAGCCAAACAAACTGGTTCAAGGACGACAACTCCGCACAAACAAGGAAGGTTCAAGCAAAGCCTTCCCTAGCTCAGGGCCACAACATTTAAACCACCAGTACCTCCTGAAAGTGCTCCGCGTTAACGGCCAGCCAAAAGTGGAAATCGCGCCGTTTCCACTTGGCTGAATCGGGCCCCTATCGGCCCAGGCCTGTTCATTCCAAAACCCATGCCCGTTAACGCGGAGCACTTTCAGGAGGTACTGGTGGTTTAATGGACGGTACAGGCTGCCAGCAATCAGGGTAAGAGGCTTGATGCTATGCTTTTTCCTTCTTCCTTTTTCATCTGGCCCTATGGACCACGGATCAGATATTTATTACTCAGACCAGAACAGATACAACTCTACCTAGTTTGCCTCAGATTTTTAGCCAAAAGGGTGCCAAAACGACAGGAGATAAAAACTCCTGCATGCCTGACTGGCTGGGTGGGTGGGTGGGTGGGTGGGTGGGTGGGTGGCTGGCTGGCTGGCAGGCATAAAGCTGCGAAGTTGTGGAGGACGGACGTCAACAACATGAACGCTTGACATCGACAGATCTTTTGTTTTTGGCACTTGAAAGCATAGTTGGTCACCATTTTCACGTGTGTTTTTTTAAATGTCATAAAAAACACTCGATAAACCTTGCCCTATGGCCCCCCTCCGCCCCCCGCCCCCTGCCTCCACCTCTGCCTCTCTGCCAGGGCCTGAATGCAAACTCAGGCAATTGATAGACCAGCAAATCGACAGATCTTTGTTTCATGTTCTTCTTCGATTTGCCACGTGTGTTGAGTACATCTGTTAAGTGTTTGTTACGTGTCAGACATACATGCATACATGCATGCATGCATACACGTCTGTTTCCGTTTTCATGCTGCATGCATGCATGCACGTGTGTTGAAGACGGTAGCGTCTCCGCACTCATCCGTTTCCGTGTTCATGCACGCAAGCACCTAACGGACACATGCACGTAACAGATGTATTGAACACAGTACCTTTTCACCCAGAAACGGATGAGTGGGGAGACACTACCGTCGTCAGCACGCATGTATGTATAAAATGCCTGGTCATTATATAGCCGTAACACGGAAACGGATGAGTGCAGAGACGGTAGCGTCCCCGCACTCATCCATTTCCGTGTTAGTGAGCTGTCATCCTGCTTACGTGTTCATGCATGCATGCATTGCACAGATGGTAGCATCTCCGTGAGTGTGGAGACACTACCGTCTTCAACACGCATGTGTGTATAAAATGCCTGGTCATTATATAGCCGTAACACGGAAACGGATGAATGCAGAGACAGTAGCATCTCCACACTCATCCGTTTCCGTGTTAGGGAGCTGTCATCCTGCTTACGTGTTCATGCATGCATGCACAGATAAGTGCAGAGACACTACCGTCTTCACCCGATTAGAATGCACAGTCATTATCGGCCTATTTGGGTAACTATCAGTCCAGATGCGGCCATGATGACCGGGTGCATAGTGCCCAGTCATTATAGCCGTTTTTGGGCAACTTTCAGTCCAGATGCGGGCCATAATCACCGGGTGTTCTACTCGGGTGAAGACGTTAGTCTCCTAGCGAATACAGTACCTCTTCTTTTCAATGACTGCGCAAGTAGTTACCTAGGTTTGGCATGTGCGCCTTTCTTTTTTTTTCCTCTCTCTCTCTCTCTCTCTCTCTCTCTCTCTCTCTCTCTCTTTCTTCTTTTAATGAACTTCATCAAAGGCAAATAACGAAAAAAAGCCTGTTGGCGCCCGCCACCTGGAGATATGCCGTTGGTCCCCCCGAGTGGCATTGAGCAGAGACTGCTGATGTTCATAGGGGGAGGGGATCAGAGGGGAGGCACAGTGACTGGCCCATCGAAGAAGCTCGGTCCCGATGCTACCGGCTGACCCCTGGCCGGTATCGCCCACCTGCTGTAGCAGGTATCGCACCTGCTGGTGGGTGCAGCTCCTGCATGTTCCCTCGTTGGAGGCTTGAGCACGGATGTGGCTGCTACGGGGTTCCCCGTAATACTATAATGACAATAAAAAAGGCCTGAACGGCCGTCCTGTCCAGATTTGACAGGTAATTGAATTGGGCTTACAGAATTAGCCTTAAAAAAAAAAAAAGAAAAAAAAAAGTCTGTGTTTAAAA